ACCATGTTGGTGCTGGGAAAGGAATCCAGGTTCACTGGAAGAGCAATCGCTCTTAACCATTCAGTCATCTCTCCAGCAGCCCATGTCAATCTCTACTAGATGTTCTGTGCATTCGATGTGAGGACCTGTTACTGTCTATCACCTATCAACTTATCTGTCACTTACTATTTATTCTTTTGACTTTGGCTTGCTATATACCTAACTCAATCATTCACAACCCAATGTATGGCAATTGTAGATCATTCTCCAGACTATTCAGAATATATCATTATTACAAGGCGTCCTCCTAGATCAGTGGTTCTCAACCTGTGGGTCTCAATCCCTTTCGGGGCCTAACAATGTTTTCACAAGGGTGATAGCCTGCATATCAGATGTTTACATTACAATTCATAACCTAGGGCCTTAATCATGCTAGGCAAGTGTCTGTGTGTGTTTCTTGAGAAGGGTTTCTCTGTATAACCCTGATTGTCCCAGAACTCACTCTGTAGACTAGGCTGGACTCAAACTCACAGAGATCCATCTGCCTCTGCCTCACAAATGCTAGGCCCAGCTGTGAGTACACTTTTAAGACTTTTAGGATTATGTTTTGTGATAACAGTAATTTACTTTTGATCTGATCTGAATGGTATTTGATAAGCAGTAATTAAGATATGACATAGATAACATTTAAAATACCTTGTCATTCTCTGCAATCTCTGCCTAAAGATTTTACAGACAGCCTAAGTTCCTTCATCTCTTCACTAAGTAGAAAGCAGTTAGTTAGCATGATGCCTAGATGGATCATATGGGCCAAGAAGCCGGGCAGCAGTGGTGCATGCCTTTAATCTCAGCACTTGGGAGGCAGAGGCAGCCAGGTCTCTGTGAGTTAGAGGCCAGCCTGGTTTACAGGGAGAGTTCCAGAACGGGCTCCAAACTGCCACAGAGAAACCCTGTCTTGAAAAACCAAGATAGATGGATGGATGGGGCAAGAAAATATCCTTTCCACCTCAACAGTACAGCAAGATGTCTACGACAACACAATATTGAAACCATTCACCATTTCGGAGCAACAGCGAATGAAGTTGGCGCTGCCTGGTTCAGGAACAGACACTGACAGGAGTATAAACAGAGCCACACAAAAGAACAGACTTGAAATCCACAAGACCAGAAAGAACGGATGCTTCTTTCTCTTTGCCTCCTCCACTCCCAACTACCTTAAAGCAACTGGAAGCTAGATATGCTTAAATACATTAAAAGCTTAAATCCTGACCACTTTTTTCTAACACTAGAGGAATCTCAAAAGGAGGGCCTGTGAGACTGCTCAGCAGAGAAGGGCACTTGCCTAACTACCAAAGTCCAATCCCCAGAACCCACATGGTGGAAGGAGAAAACAAACTCCCGTGAATTGTGCCCAGATTTACAGACACACAAATAAACAAATGTAAGAAATAAATTTTAAAAGTAAGGTTTAGGCTAGATGGTAGCAGCACACACCTTTAATCCCAGCACTCACTAGGCAGAGGCAGGTAGATCTCCAGGTTTGAGGACAGCCGGAGCTACACACAGAGAAATCCTGTGTGTAAGGGAAAAAAAAAAGAAGAAAGGGAAAAAAAGAAAGAAAATAAGGTTTAAAAGGATTTCTCTACCAAATACCAGCCATTAAAATAACTGAAATCCTACAATCAATCGAGTATAACTATACTTCAAATATTAAAATTTGAAAGCATATGTACACAAGGGCTGAGACCCTCACTTGAGTGCTTGCCTAGCCAGCACCGAGTCTTAGGTTTAATAGCAAGCACAGCAGAAACTAAGAAGGTGGCATAAACCAATAATCCCAGCGCTCAGGCAGGACAACTGGAGGGTCAAAAGTTCAAGGCAGGCAGCCTAGCAAATTTAATACTTTATTTCAAATGAAAAAGGAAGGAGAGGGGAGGACAAAAGGAGAGGTTGTTGTTTGGTTGCTTGAGGTTTTTTGAGACAGGGTTTCTCTGTGTAGCACTGGCTATTCTAAGATTCTCTCTGTAAACCAGACGGGCTTCAACTCAGATATCCGCCAGCCTCTGCCTCCCAAGGGCTGGGATTAAAAGGCACATTAAAAAGTGCCACCACAGCTGGGCGGTAGTGGTGCATACCTTTAATCCCAGCACTCGGGAGGCAGAGGCAGGTGGATCTCTGTGAGTTTGAGGTCAATCTGGTCTACAGAATAAGTTTCAGGTCAGGCTCCAAAGCTACACAGAGAAACCCTATTTCAAAAAAAAAACAAAAAAAATCAACTCTGCACACATAGAAAAGGAAAGAAGACTTCACCAGAAATGGTGGAGTGAGTCAGAGATCAGAGCTTTGGAATTACTAAGAATTAGGAGAGGAAAGGGGATGATAAATCAGAAAAGACCAACTAGGAAGAATTCCACAGG